AGTGGACGTAGACTTTGATTGAGAAAGTCGAACCACTCTAAATCGTTGTGCAATTACTTTCAATTTTCTGCAAAAGCTTCCACCAAATTTTTAATTGTCAATTCACCCCCTCTTGGCCAATTCCGTCAATCGATTAACTCAACATAGAGAATTTAGTAACCCACCTCATTAGAGCCACGTGGAAACCCTAAGAGAATTAGAATGCATGCGATTAGGACTTTAAATTTCTCTTCATACTATTTATGCTCTCTTTAAGTTGTTTATTTACTATTTTATTTACGAGCTATATTTGATTATTATTTTAATTTTACTATTTCACCTTTTTTATTAGTGCATAAACATGGTATTAATTTCCAAGTTAATTGTTAAAATTAGAAGGTTTTCAATATGGAAACATAACAAGAAGGGGTAGATAGAGTTAGTTTCTATTTTCCTCCATGTATTGAGAAGTATTTTGTTCTCTAAGAGTTGTTTTATGATAATTACCTTGGAATTAATACATGTTACATATACATGGCATATCATTTGGAGGTATTGATTCCTAAGTTAATGGTCATATTAAAAGGCTTTTAATATGACAATGTCATATGAAGAGATAGATAGAATTATAAAGGGGCGACAATGGTCCAGAAAGGCGCTCTAGGAAACAATCAAAGAAAATGCGATCAAAAAATAAAATAAAATAAAATAAAAATGCTATTAATAATATGTAAAAATCAATGACTATACTTTTATTTTCCTAATTTTATTAATTTTTAACCAAAAAAATATCAATTTACCATTTACATAAAATATTCTATATATATATATATATATATATATATATATATATATATTATCCAAATATTTTTTAATGATTACATTTCCATATTATTAATCTAAATAAATCTTTAACCTAAAACTCTTCCCCAGGGTAGCGTAGCTAGATCTTCTAGGCCTAATATTAATTCCTAGTGAAAGCACTTGACAAAATTACTCTAATAATGTGTTAGAAAAATATTTAATCATATAAGATATAAAGAATTTTTTTTTTCAATTGGGATCTTTGCTATTGTACTTATTGGAAGTCGTATGGACCACACGACGTCTTTTGGAAAATGCTTGGATCAATCAACATATTTTGCAGCACCACCCAACTATCTTTGTTATTAATCATGTACAAAATATAAAGAAGACACCATGTATTCTAGACTTCTAAAAAACGTCAATGTGCCATACGACTTCTAATAAACACTGTAACAAATATTTACTGAAAAAATAATTTCTCATGCACTTTATATATCAAATCTTTTTTCATCACGTTATTCAAAAATATTTGCCAAAGCACTTGGATCAACATTTACCATCACCATCTCCATCTCCATGCCTCAAAACAGTGTATGAAGAATACATGTTTGCAACCCAATGAACGAAAGTCCACCCATGGCCCTCCATAATTCCACTTGCCTAGCTCATCTCGCTGTATACCACCCGATACAGCTTCGCTTTCTATCTTTCTAAAGAAACAAAATCATTTTTTATTTCAATAAATCTTAAACCCATACAAGTCAACCTCTTTTGAAATTTGCTTTTATATATACCATTTTTAGTTGAAGTTACTTTTATAAACAACCATCGGCCGAACCTATTAATTAATATTGTTGTAATTGTGTGATTTTTCATGATATCTTTTGTCTCCAAGTTCACACTCCTTAAATTATTAATTTAATATCTTTAATTTTTTAAAGGGTAAAAACTACACAAATGATCACTAATGTCTGAGTAAATGTTCATTTTCTCACTAAAATTTTAAAAATAATAAATTAGTTACTAACGTTATTGATTTATAACAAATTGATTATTCGACGTTAACAACCATTAATATAGGTGACTGAAAGTTTACTTGACATGTTAACCACTTACCTAGACCGTTGACTGCTATACTAGAGAGTCCGTCGACCGACCACCTCTTCAACTTTAATTTTTCCACTTACCAAAACTCAACCAAGAAAACTGCCATGAAAGATGATCGACCACCTCTTCAACTTATCTCTCTCACTCCTCTCCTGCACAACAACAATAGCAACAACCAGGGTTTCAAATCGCAGTCTCGGTAACGTTTTTGGTTATTTCGGATTTACCGTGATTGCGGCCGTCGCGGACGCTATTGCGACCGTCGCGGGTAACTCGGACGGCGACGAAACCACTATATCGCGGTCGCAGACCGATTTTTAAAACCCTGGCAGCAACCTCTCCAACAAACATCTCTATAACTTCCTAGTCACCGCCAACGCTAGTTCCGTGAACACACGAGCCGATCAATAATGGGCCAAGCAGCATGTTGACCATGAGGTGTCATCCTCCGTAGAGGCAATAACCGTTTTGTATTAGCCAGGAAAGCCACGATGGAAAGCTGTCAGTTCAACCGAGCGAGGAAATAACTAAACACATGGCGATTTTCAACATCTGGAGTTTCACACCGGCCATGCTGCCGCTCACATCAAGGACTGTAATCAAATCGATAGGCGCACCGACGTGAATGGCCCCAGTGCGACGCTGTATAAGTACCATTCCTAGAAGAAGCTTGTATTTTTACGGGAGAGGGTGGGGCTTTTATTTTCAAAGCCACAATGTAATCTCCGTATCCACGACCCACAGAAACCACCGCCGTTTTGGGAGACAACCTGACTTGGACAATCCTTGAATCAATGAATCAAGGGATAGACCTAGGCAAGCACGGGTGAGGGCCGCGGTCTCCCTATAAATTTTAATATTTTAGATATTTTTTTATATTTTATTAAAGATATATTTTCATAATTTTAAAATTTTATAAGTTTATCATCCCTTTAAATTTTACAAATTTATCATCTAACTTAAAATCTTACCTCCGTTGCTTGGATGGTGTAGTTAATCAGATTAAATGGCGAATGAGGGGTTGAGATCAACGACCTAGGAACTCCTCGATGTCATTTCCTTCTTGTTTAATGCTTTCATCTACTTCTGGTATTGGAATGAAATGGCCATCACCAACAATTGGGGAAAGCAATGGCTCATCGTCATCATAGAATCTTAAATCAGATGATATGGGTTCCTGCTTGTTAACAATTCTGGGTCAATAAGATTCGACGATTTTTTTTCTCATCGATTCTGAGAGCGAGAGAGATGAAGTTGAAGAGGTGGCCGGCTTTCTTCGTTAGGTTTTGGTAAGTAGAAAAATAAAGTTGAAAAGATGGTTAGTCAACGGGCTCTCTAACATGGCTGGTCCAGATAAGTGGTTAATGAGCAAGTAAATTTTCTGTCACCTATGTTAACGGGTTAATATTGAGCGATTTGAGCGATTAATTTTTTATGGATCGATAATATTAATGATTAATTTAATATTTTTAAAATTTTAGTGAGAAAAACAAAATTTTACTTAAATATATTGACCTTTTATATAATTTACCCTTTTTAAAGGTTTAAAACAATCATTTATAGCTTCGTGGGCCATTTTTTATTCAATGCGTTTTGTCTGATTTTCTTATTTAAAGGTTTTAAATCAATCATTTATGTAGTTGTCATTTTCCTTTTCTGCTTCCACTGTTGAAATGCCGTATTGGAATCTAAAACTAACACTTCAAAATGAAAATGACATTGATCAATTCTATTAATCTAGTAATTAGAATTAATTAATTAACCACCAGATCGGATTTAGATACACATTATGTGTTCGTGGATAACTTTTCACGTCACTCATGATCGATTTGTGGTTTATCGATAGTCTTTTAATAATTTGATCCCTCTTTTATGGTTTGTTTGCTGATACAATTAAATATATTTATATATATCTTTGTTTGAGTTTTTTCTTGTTATATTTTATTCTTTCCTTTTATAGTTTTTATATGATCTTAAGTTGTTAGTTTCGTTTCAATGATTAAAAATTATCCTAATTATATGCTTAATTTACGATTATGGTTGTAAATTTTATTGTAATTTAAAATATTTTATATTTTGAATAAAGTCAGTGATTTCTTAAAAAAAATTCGGAAATTTGGTAATTTCGTATCTATTTAATTTTTTTAATATAGAAGTTCAAAAAAGGAAAAAAAAGGGTTTCAATTTTTGGTGAATTAATAGGTTATTTTTAATTATTTATTTTATGATTTCATTTCAAAATATGAGGGAAGACTTTTTTTGTATTAAGAAGACAAATTATGATTAAATTCATGATTTAAGAATATAATTAATTAAATATAAGTACTCTTAGTATCTTAAAGGAATACTACTGCTACAAAATGAATATATTGTTGAAATAAAATTAGGGTAAATTTCATTGCTCATCACTCAACTTTCTTTTCTTTTTTATGTTGGTCATTGAAGTTTAAAATTTTCAATTTAATTACTAAAATTTTGAATTATTCTTATTTTCGTCACTTTTATAATGACATGGATTTTATTATTATTATTATTATTATGAAATAATAATTTTGTTAATATTTAATGTTGAATAAGATTTGAGGTTTAGCACGAGTAAAATTACCTCAGTGGTTAAAGGAATCGTTGTTGTTTTTAGAGGCCACTAATTTGAGCACCTGCGACTGCAAAAGTGTTTGAACATTCATTATCAAATGGGTGAGAATACTTAGAACATATACTACTTTGTAATCACTTTAGCTAAATATAAAAAAGATATCGAGTTTAGGGTTTGATTATGTGAATGAAAAATGAAAACTTTGAGAGAGAGATCATTAAGTGTTAAAACTATTATCATTAAAATTAAAATAATCTATGTCATTTTAAAGTGGTCAAAGAAAGAATAACTAGAAAGTTTAATGATTAAATTATTTTTTTTTTAAATTTAATGACCATAATAGAAGTAACAAGATAATTGACGTATGACATTGTAATTTACCTATAAAATTATCCCCAAAGATTCTATCAATGGCACAAGGGTAGCTACAAATTAGGAGAGATATCTTAATAAGTACGCTGTTATTTTATTTACCTATATTTTGGCCATCATTGACCCTTCTTTTATAACTGCCCTTGGGTTTCATCAGATCATCGAGTAATCAAAATCCACCATGGGTGTGACTATGAAGCGAGCGGCCCTCATCGTCGCCGGCCTCGGCGTCTTGTCTTTCATCTTCGGAGTCATTGCGGAGAACAAGAAGCCCGCTGCTGGAACCCCGATTCCCGGTAAAGATTCGGTTCTATGCAAGTATCCATCGGATCCCTCCGTTGCCCTCGGCTACCTATCGGTTTCGTTCCTCATATTATCTTCTTTCGCCGGCTATTGGTCTCTGTTTTACCCTTACAAGGGGAAATCCGTTCCACAATCTGTTCTCTTCCAAAGCACCAGTTTCTTCGTCTTCTTCAACATCGCCTTGTAAGCATCTCTCTCTCTCTCTCTCTCTCTCTTTGTTTTAGCCCATGATTATGTAGATCCAATGGTTTCTTTAATCCTGTGCTAATGGCAAGATGGAATTCTTCAAAATTTTGATGCTTCAGATTGGGCTATCATGATTATTTCCAGGGATGGATGGGCGGGTGGGATAAAATTATCATACATTATAATTTTTTTCTATATATTTGGTTCACCTGCATAAAATCCTGCATCTATTTCATTTACTCGTATGATTTACTTTCTATGTCAATTTTTGTGTTGCCCTCCTGGTTCCTCGTGTATTTTCTGCATTTACAAGACTTGAACTCGATACGATATCAATTTCAAACCATATTATCCTTCCTCGACTCTCACCCAACAATTCCAGAATCATATTATCCTATTAAAACTCACTCAAGTATAGTTGTGGGCATAGTATTAAATTGTGCTTACGGTCACGGCTGCAGTGTCGTGATTTTAAATGATTGACGGTGACTTTGAAAAACATTATGATAAGATTGTTACACTGCAATTTACTATTATGATTATGGGTGCCCTTGTTATTAAGATATAAAATTTTGATCTGCTTATGGGCAGGTTTACCGGGGGGTTAGCAGCCACTCTGCTGTTGTGGCCGACGATCACAGAGCATCTTCGCCTGACCCGCAATGTTCATCACAATCTCGAGACACAATGCCCTACTGCTAAGACTGGACTCCTTGGTGGTGGTGCGTTTGTGTCCCTGGATTCAGCCCTTTTCTGGTTAGTTGCTCTTATGTTGGCTGATAATGCCCGACAGGATCACTTTGATCAAGTTGAAAATACCATTAAAGCTTAGCCTCTTCTTTCTGCTGAAAAAACATACCGTGTCAAAGGGGGTGCCCTGTAATGCAGTTGATGGCATCATCAACCACTATACATGTTTCCCCAACTGTCTTTTTATCTTTATCTTTATGTCTATGGTTTGCATTTCACAGTAATAATTGTGTATGACTGGTATTTCTTCAGCAAAATATATGGATCCCCAAAAGTAAATTAGATATATAATTGGGTTTTATATGAACTTATTTTACTTCTGAATCTCGAATGCTACACTTAGTATGATGATTTTTAATTGTACTAGCAACATTGAGCATTAATGCAATTTAAATTGCTGCATTGCTTTTAAGGAATTGCTATAGCTTTTATCAACTCTGACAATTTGGAGTGGTTGAGGAAGTATAAAGAGCGGTAGTCTAATTTAAGGTTAAAAAACGATAATTTTGAGGCGCAACTGAAAATGTGATAAAAATATTATATTATTTGTAACATTTTAGGTTTAATCAGTTAACATTTTAGATTGTGCTCAACCTAAAATATTGTGATTTTTATCATATTTTCGGTTGTGTCGTTTTTTAGCCTTAAATTAGCATTAGGCGCAGTAATTTTTTTCACAAACAAGATTAAAATAATGATTACAAAATAATATATGTTTTAAAGATTCACAATCATTTGAAGTTCAAACAGCATTATATTATCTGGTGCTCGATCCTGAAATCTTTGGGAATAATAATTTTCTCTTTACCAATGAGATAGCTTGGATCGTGCACAACACATCAATAGTTAAAATTAATTGATTATGGTTAGTATAATTTAATTATGTCACAAGGTTATTGTAATTTTTAATTATATTTAAAATATAAAATAATAAAGACACATAGTATCAATACAATCCGTTTATGAAATATTTTTTCACTATCAATTATCAATTATGATTTTTAGTTTAACAAGTTAACTTAATAAATTTTCTCATACAAAAAGGAAAATAGTTTAATAAAAATACTATTAAAACTTGTGGTTTAATAAATCTTTCTCTTACAAAAAAGAAATAGTTAAATAAAAATATTATTTAGTCTCGTGATATAATCTAATTAATTCATATATTTATTTTTCTAACATGTTTAGAATTTAAACACAACATTTAAATTTGTTCTTATACTTTTTATTTTCAGAATATAATTCTTTTTATACCGGGCCTTGCCAAACAAAATAGGATTAAATTAGAAGTATTTATGTATTGGGAAGAAATCCAATTATAAGAAAACTTTAGGCCTGGTCCAATTTGATAGTAATATCTATTTTATTTTAAAACAAATAAAATAATAAGAATATGAATATGAATATGAAGTATTATGTTTATATTGATATATTTTTATAATTAAGTTTCAACAATATATATTTCAAACTATTTCACTCTTGCTAATTTGTAAAAAAAATTTGACTAAAATATATATTTTACTTTTTAGTATTATTCTTATTTAAAAATGTTAATGATAAATGATTGTAATTTTTAAAGGAATGATTATTTTACTATTTTCGAAATGTACATAAATTAATTTATCCTTTTGTAGCGGAGGGACCAAAATACAATCTGAAATATAATATATGAACTGCAATGATATTTTTACATGTATTTATGGAGAGAGGAATCAATGCTTACACTATATATTTTTTGGGTAAATTACAAATTTGGTAGCTAAACTTTACTTTCTCTCATATTTAACTTATTGTACTTTAAATCTTTTCAATTTTCTCACTGAACTTAATACATTTGGTTTTTTTGCCACTTAGTTGTTTTCTCACTAACGACATTATAAATGAGTTGTTATATAGATGCAAAACAATGTCATTTTGGTGAAAATTTTGTTTTTTTAAAAACATCGTATTTTTAATGCCATTAACTATTTAATGACATAGTGACACAAAAATCCAAAATATTAAGTTCAGTGAGGAAATTAAAAACTTTTAAAGTTCAGTGAGCAAAATAGGAGATAGTAAAGTTTAGTGATAAAATTTGTAATTTACCCTATTTTTTTGGTTGCTTTCGCAATTCCCAGCTTCTCCCTGACTAATTCGGACCGATCCGGGTTGCACACTTGATTTTGGTAGATGAGTCTCCTAGCAGAGATTTTCTGCATATACAAAGACTCAAACTCAAAATATGCTTAAGCGATATCAAGTTGTTTACCACTTGATCCAACCTCGTTTGGTTGAGGTTAGTACTATATTACTAATTGGGGAAAAGAAAAAAAAGAATGTTCAACATTAATCTTGCTATTAACAAAATTAATATTGCTTAATTTGCTATGGCACCAAAAGAGTTGGTCTTTGGTCACTTTAGACATGTTCAAAACTCTACCCACTAATTTCAAATCCACTTGGGAGAATAAGTAAAGGACTTGATCTGAATTCTCCCCTTCATTCTTCTTCATTCTCTTTAACATGCACTTCCCACTTTTTACCATCTCTCTAAGCTTCTTGTCCTTCTGCATTTTCATCATCCAAATGTCAAAAAATAGGACTAAACAAGACATTTATATTCATAAATTATTCGAGTTCGACTCGAGAAAAGCCTTAATTCATCTGAATTATTCTCGAGTCGATCATATGAATAACATATGATTTGGAAAGACTAACCTTTTGTAAACTTGTTTGAAGTGTTGCTAAAAGTTGAAGCTCATCTGGTTCTGGAGCTCTTTTCCTGACGTTAGGGATCGCAATATTTGCATATTTATCAGCTCGAATGAATCGCCAAAAATATTCGAATTGATTCCTCCATCATCTCCAATAACACATCTGCTGTAATTACACCATTATCATCATCATCTCTTTCTTTTCTTCTACCGTTCCTTTTATCCTTCAAGCTGTTTTCTGCACCAAAACCAGAAAATCACGGGCTTTCCTTTTTGTTGCTACTTGATCAAGAATTCATGAGCATGGATTAAAAATTCAGATCCCCATGTTCACCAAACTGGAAATCGATTGATTCGACTATTCAATTATATAAACGCAACCAAAAACGTGACATGCAAGAACAACAGAATGCTTACCTCGGATAACGGGAACTTGAAGGAGGTTTCGTACAACAAATCGTTTCTTGATGTAGCTCTGTACCCTGGGACCTTCAAAGGGTTCATTCTCTATGAACCTTTGAATCAAAACTTGAAACTGTTGAAATTCACCGGCGACTTCATTGTATTTGTTTCGACGCAGGCAGTACGGATCGGATTCCCATATTTCAATAGCTTTCTGATATTGCCAATGAAGTATTTCCCAAGAAAGGCACATCTGCCCTACATACACCATTTCCAGATCGCTTTGAAGCTCGTTGATGAACTTCGACATGGGGTCGGAATCCGACGTTTTTCGTCTTCCTGGTCGGAGCTTTTGAGGGAGAAGCGATGCAACTGCTGGAGCTGAAGATGATTTGTGGGTTGAAATTGATTGAAATGGATCCTTTGAATGCAGAAGCCCTATGAAATTATTAACAAACATGAGATAGGTTAACTTCGTAATTTGTCATTTAAGAACAAGAAAAAACCATACGAGAAAAAAAGATAAAATTCAAGCGAACAACTAGAACAGATGATAGATACAAAGTACCATTGTACGCTATCGGTCTATAAAAAAAAGGTAATATGAGGTAGAACGTAAATCATTAAACAAACTGAACTAAAAAGATAAAACTGACCTATTGCATACATCTTCTGGTAATTCAAGATATCGAACTTTCTCATCCTTCCTCTATAACTCTTGTAGAATTTATGAAGCTCGGTCATTCTATCTGCGTATTGGAACTTCTCATCAATCTTCCATGGCTTCAAATCATCCATTATCTTTGGATATTCTGATTCTTCTAAGATTGTTGGCAAGCCTGTTGCTTTAATCTTTTTCATCTCCATTTTCAGCTGTTCTAACAGTTCTTGATGTTCCCAAAGGGTTTCCAAACTATTTGAATCCTCAGAATCTGAAGCTAACGGATTCTCCAAATTGGACTCCTCTGAATTATCTAAAGCATTTGAATCCTTATTCAATGTTCTAAGCTCTTGCTTTATATCTTGATCTTCAATTTTCCTTGTAGAATCCATATTAGTATCTGAAACACTGCAGCCAAGTTTCCCTGAAACATTTTCGCAAACAGTTTGTTTGCTTTGTTGGGCCTCATCAATTTCACCCTCTGATAAATCTTTCAAATTTTGTTCTAAGAAATCTTGTTCTGACAGTAACCCATTGCTGGAATCAGCATAAAATTCTTTCACACAAATGGTAAAATCCTCAGGCTTCTCCATTATACAACAAATATCATTCTCTGACTTGAACTCATACTTGTTCGTGCTTGTACAAGGAATTGAGTGTAGGCCAACAATAAAATTCTCATTTCCTTCAAATTTCTTCCTTAATTCTTCAAACGTCTGGGTTTGATACTGAAACTTGAAGAACAAATTTGGGGATTCATTTTCTTCAGTTGATTCACTGTCTTCGCCTTTCGACTCCATAGCAACAGGTTTAGTTTCCATCGTTTTCTCCTCAATGGAATCCTCTGTTTCAATTGGAATCGAACTATTGAGGTCAGAAATTCTATCAGTTTGAATCCTGAAACCATGAAGAACATAAAAAACAATTATTAAAGTAAAAAATATCTTTTTTACATTATAAAAACAAGTGAATTCAAAATTGATTTACCCTGAGAAAGTTTTGCTGAAGAACTCAAACAGAGAGAAAAACAGGGCAGAGATGGTGACCAAGAAAAACACACCAAAAGAGACCAAAATTTGAAAGGAAAACACACTTTAAAAGAACTCCTATTCTTGCAATTAAAATGGGTATTGATCACGAAATTGTACAGGGTAACCAACAATCTCGTTCTTTTTATTTTTTTTCAAGTTGAATCAGCAAAAACAGAGTATGAGAAGTCCATTGGATCTCTGATTTTAACTTTGAAAACTTTGGGTAAAGTACCCAAATAGTTTCATAAAAATTATAAATGGTCCTTTAACCAAAGGGTGTTCATTTGTTGAGTCCACGGTTAATAAAAGTTACAAATGGTCACCTGACTATTTAGTACGTTTCAAACTCGTCATTTTCTGTTAAAAAATTAACACCAATTTGAGGTGGATGTTAGCATATTGACTAAGATATGATAGTTTTTTTAGATTCTGAAATAAAATTTTATCATATCTCTATCAAGTTAATATTTAGTTCAAATTATCGTCAATTTTTTTT